TCTACCTAAAGCAACACTTGTGTCGATGAATTTGCACACTTCTAATAATTATTCCATTCCTTACAACCATCCCATCGCGGGGGGTGGGGGAGAGATGTGTTTTTTTCTCCAGAAATTGGGAAACCCTGTTTTGGACAAAACTTTGATAATCTTGCCAGGTTATTGTCCAGCCTGTACAATCTTTCAGTGGCTGAGAACTCACTATTCAAAGAGGTATCTAATTCTGTCTGTGAATTGTTGTCTTGACTGGGCTTAATTATCTTGAATTCATGTTTCTATTACTTACATAACTTGTTCCTAACTGCTTTCTTAAGTCATGCAGATAAATCTAGTGTCTCTTCTATAGGCAGCCTTTGAAAAGCAAAAGACATATGTGGAATATGGAGTGGGGGAAGGAATTAACAAGACTACACCAAAACCAGCCCTAGAAATATGACTGCAGCATTGAGGCTACTAGAGGGGGTGGAGGTACAGGTGGGTGAAAGGAGGAGGGAGCCCAATGGCTGATGGCAAAATGTTCCTGGTACACACATCTGTTGAGGGGTGAACTCTTCCTTCTAAATTATATAAAATGTTGTGAATCAATGTTACTTCAATGAAAGAAAATAATTACAAATCATACCACCAATTGCTTTTTTATTGATTCCAAGTAGTATTTTAAACTCTTTCCCCTCAAAAGTGAGTGGTTTTTATCGATATATTGCAACCAAAAAAAAAAAAGTAAAATAAAAGATGCTTTACTTTCAAGGAGGAAAACTATAGACAGCATTGAAACTTTCCTGCGCTGACTCTTCTCCAGTTAAACCTCCCTGGCTCCATGGAATATGATATGCCTAGATGGTTGTTTTTTTTGGAATTGTTAAGTTTTAATATTTGAAGGGTCCTATGATGATACTACCTGGGGAATCCAATCCATGTCCCTTTTATAAAACTACCTTTACTATTCATTCATTCTTAGAATGTAGTACCTGTTCTCCAGGGTAAAATATAATTTGTACGTACATCTGGCTGTAAAGGACAGTACCGGAAAGGGAACGATTCAGGTGATGCCAAATGAGGGTAGTAAATAGCTAAAATCTTGGGTTTTATGGCCCAGAAAAAGAATATGTTTGTTTGTTCTGTTTTGCATTACCTTGCCACTTCATTTCCAATTCCACTAACTTAGTATTGCATTGTGTGAAGGATTGGGCAGCGGGACACAGGAGTTTTGGCCAGATCTGTGACCTTGAGAAAAACTTTAGTTGCTCAGAAGCTGTTTCATCTTCTATAAAACGGATAGAGTAACTCCGATGCTGTTACTCTGCAAAACATTGAGTATTATTGTCCCACATGCGATGTCACCTAAAGCCTGCACAGCCCTACCTCCCTCCTGTCACTAAGATGAAGAAAGATACTAGAATCGTGCTCCCTGCTGCTCTTGCCCCTGCGGCTGCTTTCCCCACTTCAGAAGGTCTGCAATGCCTGTTGCCACCCAACATGTTATTTTCACATTCTCTGATGCTTTGGTTTGTATTTTGATTGTTTTCCTTGAATTGTCTGTGTGGCCTACCCTCCAGAAGTGATATATCCCTGACTTCAATAAGAGCAGGGAGGCTCTGTCATCTAAACTTGTTCTGCTTCTTCCCTCTCCACTGTGGAAATTAATAATGCCTTTACTCATCTTTCCCTCCTTCCCGTCTCAGAGTAAGCTTTGTCCTTAATTCTGTCCAGAGCTAATCCATCTCTTGGTGGTCTGGATCCTTGAATATAGCACTCCTTTCCTCTCTCCTTTGTCTCAGCTACTTCTCTAGTCTACACAGTCTTCCAACCTGCTGCTTGCCTGTCATTGCTCTTGATCACACCTGGGTCCTGGGTCCCTGCAAAACAGTTGCTACCCTATCCTTGTCTTCCCCTTGATTCTGACAAGTCCTCCTTCGTGCCACAGTCTCCCCAAGAAGGTCAGCTCATCCCCATTCTGGGATTGGTGACTGCGGGTCCGTGGCTCTGTTAGTCTGGGGTGTGACTTTATCCCTTGACCTGGGGTCTGCATGTCTAATTCCAACAGCTAAGACATGCTGCCTGAGCGCACATCTCTGACTCTAGCCAGAGTGTGGTGGAGGAAAGAACAGGACCTTGAAGTTCCACAAACCTGGTTTTGAATTCTGCTTTGTAGCAGTCATTCAGCCCTATGAGCCTCACTTTCCTCATCTTTGAGCTGTCTGGTGCAAAGCTGTTCCATCGCTCAGCTGAGATCATGAAGAAAAGTCACATAGAAGGCACTAGAACATGGGAACTCTTGTTAGAGCTAACTGTTCTGGAACACAGAAAACAGACTCCCACACCTGCCACCAGCCTGACCTCTTGGAACGGTGGTCCCACAATTCTACTCCCTCATTGCCTCCTCTCCCACAGGATTGGGGAAGGGTCTTATGCCCTCTGCATTTCCACGCTACATCCCTCCAGTCACCATTCTCGTGTAAGTTGAATACCCTAGAAGGGTGTGTTCCCACAGTTTCTGTTTTGCCCTAGTAAGAAGACCACCAGACCCTCAGCTCCAAGGCACATACTAGAGGGTGGTCCCCAGGGAAAGGGGAGGTTCCAGGTTCCCTGCCCCACCCAAAGGAGGGTGGAGCTGAGAAGGGAAAAGAAGCTGGAGAGGAGATGGGAGGAGGAAGTAGGATGGAGAGCCAGAAGGAGCCTTGAGGGAGGCACATGGAGCAGAGAGACGTGTAAAGAAGCTGTGTTTGCTTCTTGGTCCTGGACCAGTTGAAACAGATATGGGTGAAAGACTGTGAGAGGTTAACTATGGCAGCTTTTATATTAATTTTGATTTTGTTCATTCTCTCCCAGGCTTCTGTGACTGTTTCTGAACCTTTCTATAGCTCCCTGCCAGAAGGTGCTTTAGACTTGTGACAGGTTTTCAGGCCTTGTTCTAGGCCAATCCCATTTGGGTGAACTTTTACCTACAAGGAAATGGATGACTTTGGGTGCTTGATTTAGTAACTTTATTCTTTGTCTTTTCTGCATTGTTCACTGAATGTATTAAGGTTCCTTTCCACTAAAGGTCTTACATGTTTTTGTCTTGATGTGTCAGGTGGCAGAATCTTTTTAGAGCAGGCAGGCTTGGGGGTTTGGGGGTGCTCCTCTCCCTGCCCTGTAATAACATCTCAAGCCCCAGTCTTAGGTTGTGACTTGTGCACTAATTCCTCAGGAGCTGAACTCCTTTCTCAGAGGTCAAAGTTCAGCCTACAAGACCCTGAGCCTCTTTCTTATCTCTCTCTGCAGTCTGTTAGCCTGCAGAATAGCTCTTGAAACCTCTCCTCTGTGACAGATTTCCTTCAAACTCCATTCTGTCTCTGCTTTTTCTCCAGCCTGCTAACCTGATAGCCCCTGTCCTCTTACACGACTTTCTTGCTTAGGTAATTTCATGCACTTTAACAACTTTAACCATCATTTGTATGCTGCTAACTTCCAAATCCCTATAATGGAAGTCTATGTCCTCCTGCCTCCAGACCCATTTCTAACAGCTTCCCACACAAGTATCCAGAGGTACAAACTGTACACATCCAACAGTTTCTTTTTCCCTTCCTCCAGTATTCCCTAATTCTGTTAGTCAAGCCATTGCTCACCCACCAATTATCAAATTCAGTTACCAGCCACTGACCCTGCTTTCTCCATTTCCCCCCAATTCCCGTTCCACCCATCTCCATGATTCAAAGTTATGTCTTTCCTACCTTTTCACTGTGTAGTTCAAACTCACAGTGCTTTTATCTAACCAATTTCAGTAACCTCCAAGGAGTCTCTTAGCTTCCCTCAACCCCCGGCCAGAGATAGCTCTTTAAAATAGAGATTTTACATTGCCACTTGCTTAAATGTCTGTGACAAGTATTTTCTGAAATAAGCAGTGAGCTATTTCTTATGCCTCACAATCAGGTTCCAATTTGTCCTTTTATGCTTGCCCCTTGCCAAAAGCTCTCTGGACCTAGGCTGAATGGATATGGCCTGTATTTAGTTTGCAACTTCAGTTCATCAACTGATCATTTTTCCTCACAGCTCCTGTCCTGTGCCAAGCAGCCCAGTTATGCTTGAATTGTTTAGCATATGTAGGTGATTCAATCATAGAAACTTTCTTTTGGTGGGTATTTTTAGGCATCAAGTGACATAAACACTCTACACATTAATCATGGAGTTTATACATTTCAGAGGAAATCTATGTGATAGCATCTGTGAAACGTTTGAAAGAATATGGCATAATGACATTAGCAGAGCGCCTCTCCATAACTTGCTCCAGTTAACACTGAACTCTTATTTACCCAGGCTAAGGGAAGGAAATAGCACAAATAGCTCACAGCATTAAGTATAGAAATACTCCTATTTTGTCGTTACATTATAGTTTTTTTCTATCTTACAGAGCCACTTGTATAAGGTAACGTTAATAAAAGAAAGCTTTGGTTAAGTTCATACAACTAATTCCTAATTCTAGATATCAAGGAGTTAATGGTAAAATGGGGAGTGACTCAAATGTATGGGAATTTCAGGAATAGGGCTCACTGGAGGACCATGTTTGTCAAGATAATATCAGTTTACAACTATAGCTTGGGCTGAGAATATGTTTTTCTGCCTTCTTTTGACTGTTACTTACATTTTATGCAGCCATATCTTATGTCTTGGCTGAAGATTGTCATTAATGCTTTCTGATTTATACTCTGTAATGCTAGGCATTAGAAATTTGGTGACTTTGGGCTTCTTTGTTGTTATGTATAAATGTGTAAAGCATATTCATATACCAGAGTCTATAAAATATACTCATTGTTGAAGTGAGAGGTCATTCTATTTTTACTCACTTTCACTTTAATTGCAAATTGTTAGTGCAGGAATCCTCCACAAAAAGGGTTATGCAAGCATGCCCGAATTGCTTGAAATATTTTCCACTTCTCTGACTTCCCATGGGGAAAGCCACTAGATTGCATTTGTGACATCTTAGTTTGTTCAAGCAGCCTAACTGGGATTTAAAAGCTTACCGGTTTAGAGAAGAACATCCAGGATTGGAACTCTTGTCTTCATTTACTCTTCAGCATCTGGAAATGTGTAAATTGATGATGTAAAATACAACCCACGTGACAGCAGCTATTATTAAACTTTTGTTTGTTCAATATCCCACTTTTACATTTATTCTTTAAAATGATTTTTAAAAAATAGATTTGAATTATGTACAGGACTTTCATCAGAAAATGAAGTGCAGTGTTATGTTTTTTTTAAAAAATGGTTTGCATTATGGTGATGGCACATGGGTGACTTGGTGATGGGAAACCCGCGGGGATTACAATTGAGATGGAAAAAAAATGTACAAAATGATGTAAAAATAAACTTTTGAAAAAAAATGGTTTGCCCCTCTTATGGTAGAAATAATAGTCTTGAGCACAGGTAACTTTCCTGCGTCTTGGGCAGAAGCACCTAATCACTCTGTCTCATCTGTCAGAGCCACCTAATTACAAGCACAGGCCCTTTCGCAATGTAGTATAGTAATGCCAAACAATTAATTAAGGCTCAGAGGAAAACAGTTGTTTAAAGGTCTATGCTCTACTCAAAAAGTAAAACTCAGTGACCTTATTTTGATTCTCTCTTGTGCTTTCTCACATATCCCATCCATGTACCCATGCAAATTTCATTTGTCCTAATTTTGAATTTCTGCTGTCTAACATTCAATGTAATTCAAACTAGGCAGGGAAAAAAGCCAAATCAAGCAATTCATGTTTGTCTCTCAAATCTTAGTATGCATATAAATCATTGGGGATCCTGTCTGATTGTGTAGGTGTGAAGTGGAGTACAGGAGAGCATTTCTAGCAAACTCCCAGGTATATGCTGCTGGTCCCAAATCGCAACTGGAGTGGAAAGATATTGCTATTTGTTGCTCTTCCCGATGAGAATTTAGACTTCATCTTTTCAGACGTCTGTTGAAAATTTGCCTGTCTTACTTGCTTGCTACAAGAGACACACCCCAGACTGAATAATTGTACTTCACTAAAATCTGGTTTTCTCCTTGGCCTTTCTGCTATTCATCCACTACAACCCTTAAAGAAGCAGCACAGAGGACTCTTGATGGATCACGTAAGGAATACATTCAAGCTGTGGTCATTTCTGTCTGTTTTAGAAACAAAAAGACACACACCTTCTCTTTCATTTAAATTGAGTTATTAGGCGTCCATGTACAGATTTGAGAAAATGCATTAAACAGGTAGGAAGATGCCAGAAACTTAAGCTCATATGCCTCAGTTTCTTCCTCAGTAAAAACAACAAGGCTGAATCTGATCTCTAAAGCCCCTTCCTGCTCTAATCCATTACCATTGAATGTCATTTAATCATCTGGATGAATTCTTACTGGCTTAAACCAATGATTAGGTGTGCCTTTAAGAAGGTAGACTGTTACAGGGTGGCCCAGAGTGGACAGGGCCGCCTGTCTGTGGGGCCTCACCTGAGCACTCACAACTCACTTATACTACAGGTACACACAAAAGGGTCAATAACGGGTTTATTTACAAAAGGGGAAAAGAATACAACCCAGGAAAGAGAGTGGGATACAAAGTAACTGGAATACCTTGGCTAGGCTGACTGAACACCTTGAGTCAAGCGGTCCAAAGAGCCATTTCCCCAGGGAGAGAGTGCGAGATGCAATCGCGCCCTATTTATCCCCCAAATGTCCCAGAATTCCTGCTAGCTCCGCCCTTGGGTCCTCGCAGTTCTCTCCCTGGTACTACTGGGAATTGTAGTTTCCAATCACTGGAGTAGGGTGTAGGGTCCAGAAAGCTGGAGTAGACTCTGCATAAGACTCTGCAGAGTTCCTTTAGGACATCCTTCCCCTTAACAGTTCTATTAATAGCTCTATTAATGCTAACCCCTGTTGAACTCAACTGGTCCAGTTCCCATCTCTGTGATTTTGTTACAGGGTAGCCCAGAGTGGACGAGGCCGCCTGTGTGTGGGGCCTCACCTGTGCGCTCACAATTCAGTTACACTGCAGGTACACACAAAAAGGTCAATAATGGGTTTATTTACAAAAGGGGAAAGGAATAGGAAACAACCCAGGGAAAGAGAGCAGGATACAAAGTAAGTGGAATACCTTATGGCTAGGCTGACTGAACACACCAAGTCATGTGGACCGGAGAGCTGCTTCCCAAGCGAGAGAGAGCCAGATGCAATCTTGCCCTATTTATCACCCAAATCTCCCAGAATTCATTCATGCTAGCTCCGTCCTTGGGTCCTAGCAGTTCTCTCCCTGGTACTGCTGGGAGTTGTAGTTTCCAATCACTGGAGTATGGTATAGGTACAGAAAGCTGGAGTAGGGTGTGCAGTCCATAAGACTCTGCAGAGTTCCTTTAGGACATCCTTCCCCTTAACAATTGCAAGAGTATATTGCTCAACCCACAAGAGTAGTGCAAAGACAATGCATCCTCATTAGTTATACCTACTTGACCTTATGGCTGGACTCTGAGTATTTGAATTTGGGCTCTTTTGGGGGAAGGGAACAGTCATGAAAGCTGTTCAGGTTGCCAAGACCCTAGGGTTTGGCTAGACTAGAATTTACCTAAAACACACAAAATCCGCCTAACATCAAACAGGAAGTAGGAAGTGAATCTAAGAAGTGAAGCCAGAGATGAAAGCTAGAGAATTGCCAAGGAAGTGAGTGGAACCACAATGAAGAACGTACAACGTGTTTAGAATCCAGGAGGTTTGGGATCAGGCTGGGACACAGAATGTGACAGAATGTGGGGTGAATGCTTCTGAATGGAGATTCCGAACACTCCGAGGGGGAGGAGCTAATTTTTGAGTCTTAGATGAAAGGTGCTCCTCAGAAATGGCCAGAGAGCTTTCTGAGAGGAAAATGCTACTCTTTTTTTTTTCTTTCTCTCTAATATGTGCCTGAGATGGAAATAAGAATAAAATAAGAGATGTAAAGTAAGAAAGAAATGAATGAATGAAATAACCTATTTTTAGATCACGCAATATATCCTCTTTCCAGTTTCTTTGCCACCATGCAAAATAATATTCTCATTATTGCTCAAGCAAACAAAAGGGAATCCACAATACTCTAATTTCTTTCAATTTCAATTTATATGATAGACTGCAGAAGAATTAGTTCTTTTGTTTGTGCCTTGGTTATTTCTAAATATTTTTACAGTTACTTGAATTATATTATTCTATCATAATAAACCCTTTGAAGTTAAATGTAGTGTTTCACAAAATTTTATATGTCTAATCTAGCTAGCACTTAATAAATAGAGGTAGAAGTGGATCACCCATGTTCATGTGTTTGGTCATTGGAAGGATTCAACATCCTAGCCACTTAAAACAGTATCTTTCTTTCTATATTATTCTTTAATAATCAGATACCTGTGCGTTACACTTGACCAAATGTTCTTATAAATACACCCCATTAAAAGAAAATAATAATGAACAACTATATAATAGTGACATTTTATGGGGATGGAATGGGTAATAGGATCAAAAATGGGGTGGAGGGAAGTACACTGGACTATGGTGATGGCACACGGGTGAATTGGTGGTAGGAAGCCCACAGGGATTACAACTGAGATGGAAAAGGCACAAAATGATGTAAAAAGGAACTACTATATTATTATTTTTTTAAATCCACCCTATTAAAACGTTCACATTATCATTTTAGGGTTATATTAGTGTTTTTTTAAGTTAAGAACGCCTTTTATAATGGAGTCCTCACATTTTAAAAACCATGAAAGATAGAGAGTATCCTACAAATCTTCTCTGTCACATTTATGTACAATCATCTATATGATTTCAGGGGGGTCTTAAGAATCCCTTGTAGCCCTGGACAGAACTATAAAGCTGATGGAAGTAAAGCCTAACATATCTGCTGGAAAAGGACAAAGGTTTTCTGCAGCTAAAAGTGTCTCCTGTTTTCCACCCACACACTTAACCCCAGCCCTGCCACCAGCATTTAGAAATGCAGAGGACAATGAGCTCTTCCATACCTATCTTGAAACCAAAATCAGAAAACGTGCAGAAGGCAGGGATTATGGAAAAAAAAAAAAAAAAAGGCCAATGTGATCATGCTGGGGGAGTCTGGGAGAACAGGCAGGTGTTTTAGAAATTGCCAGCTGATGAAAGCAAGTGCACAGAATTATCTCCACCCTGCCTCTGGCCCATGGGAACCTCTGACTGCCCTTGGATAAGTTGTGGATAACAAGCGCTGATCCTGAGCCCGAAAAGCCCCCACTTTTTTTTGGGGGGGGTGTATTTCTTTCCCACTGCCTTAAGCTTCAAAACAGTATGTGTGTGGACTTGATGTGTGGGAAAGGTTTCCAGGAGAAGGAGAATTAGGTCTTCCATATGAAAAATTGAAGCTAACATGTCAAATGTTGATTTTACTTTAATTTCCTAACAGCTTTATCCCAGAAGCAAGGATTTCCAAGTTACTGTTTCAATAGAAGATATTTCAATATCCTTTGCAATTTTGAAATCAGAAATTTTCTCTGAGACAAGTTGTCATGACATGATGAAAGAGGAAAGAAAAAAAAATCTGTTGAGATCTCAAATTTCACTCCCTTTCGCACTTTTTTTTTCCCATAGAAGAACTAAGCTGTAGGCCAGGGGTACAGGGGGTGAGAGGATTCACTGGAGACACAGTAGGGAGCAGAACCGGGAGATGTACTGAAATACACTGCTGAGGGGAGCTGCATTGGCACAGAGAGGTCTGCTGCACCATATGTGGGTCAGCTCCCTGGCCTGGGATCAAATTCAGGCCATAGTGGTGATAATCCTGAGACTTAACCCCTAGGCCACCAGGGAGGCCTTCATACTCTTTCTTTTCACTCTTTCTGCTGGATAACCTGCCACCTTAAAGCTATCAGGATCTATTTGGTATTCGAAACAAGCTCCTCAGTCTCTTAGTAGGATGGAAGTCACTTTCCCTGATCCCCATCATTTGGTTCAGTATCTGATTTCCCAACACAGTGAGAGAAAGATAGATTGATGAACAGCATTTTGATACATAGAAACATAGCCATTGATTACCAATGATATCATTATAGTTTAATAGACAGTATCAATTTTGATTTGCATCACCAGATTAAGTATAACTATAGAGCAGGAGTAGTATGTATTCCACTCAATTAACTATGAAGAAATGAATTGCCTGCAGCAAGCTTCACATTCAGGTTTCTCAAAATAAGAGGGAAGCAATTGGCAGCCAGAGTGACAGATATTAAGAGGTAGGCATAAGGTGAACACCCTGCCGAAGGGACGAATCTGGATTTAAACTTGATTGGAGCATCATTTGACAGTAGTGAATAAGGAGTGGATGTACACACAAAATAGTAGTTTTCCTACTAGTTTGTTCCTACCCATTTTTGTTCACTAATTAATACTCTTAATTATAATCGGATACAAATAAATACTATAATTCATAGTGTTCTTAAGCAAAGACATTTAGTTTTGTACAAAAAGGGAGGGATAGTTTTCCTTATGATGTGACTTGTCTCAGGTTTCTATGGACAGAAAGAACATAAAGTTTCCATTTTTCAAACTGAACACCCTTTAGCAGCAAGCAAAACACACACACAGAATGCCATCAAATAAATGCTACCACACTAATTGTTTCCTTTGGCAATGAAAGGTGAGATATGGTATACTTAGGAATTCAAGCAAATATATTTAGCCTTTTGGCAATTTTTTTTGCTACTTAACTGCATGGGTTCAGACAGGCACTTGGCATGTCTAGGGCCCAGTTCCCTGTTGGTAAAAGGAGAGGACTATAGTTGTAGAACTCAGCACTTCTTAAACACTTTAACCATTCAAAGACTGTTCCGTCATGTGTTATCTTTAATCCTTGAAGCAACTTTCAAAAAAGGATGTCATTATCTTCACATTACAAAGGAAAGAGTTGAGGTTGGGTCAGAAAATCAATTTTCCAGGAATGACGTAAGAAACAAGTGATGCACCTGCTGTTAGAACCCTGCCCATGGGATGCCAAGAACTTTGTCCCAAGGTGCTGGTACCATTAATAATTTGCTAGAACCACTGTAGTGAAGTTTCAGAGACTGTGGGGCTGGACAACAGTATTTGCTTGTATTACAGGTCTGGAAGCCAGAAGTTGAGATCAAGTTATTGCAGGGTTGATTTCTTCTGCAGCTGTAAAGGAGAGACACTTTTATTCCTCTCTCCTGGCTTTGGTGGTTTCTGTCAACCTTTGGTGTTCCTTGGCTTGTAGCAGGATAACTCTGGTTTTCACGTGACTTATATGCATGTTTGAGTCTAAATTCTCCCCCTTTTTAGTTCAGTCATATTGGATTAAGCAATCAATCTACTCCAGTATGACCTCATCTTAACTATTTTAATTTGCAAACAAAACCCCCCATATTTCCATGTAAGTTTATATTCAGGGAGACTTAAAATTAGGACAACAACATATGAATTTGGGGGAGGGGGTGTGGCAGAATTCAAGCCATAATAATGCTTATAAACTTTATAAGGCTCCAAGATATAAATATATATGTTTATTAATAATAGGATATGTCATAGTTCCCCATGTCTGCATATGTCAGTGTATGAACTCTCTGTGTGTGTACTTAGTGCTGCACCTTCAGAAGCTTAAGAAAAGCCATGTTTAGGGGCCCTCTCTGGGGGCACAGTGGGTTAAAGGGCAGTTCTGCAAGCAAGCCACTGCTGCTTCAGTGAGAATTCGATCCCCAGCCTTAGAGGTGACCCACATGATGCAGAAGACCTCTTCTGACCCATCCACTGCTCCCCTCAGCAGTGTACTTGATCAATCTACCCGTTCTGCTCCCCAATTTGTCTCTGGTGAATCCTATCACAGTGCTTGCACCTCTGTCCTGTACCCCAGTTATGTATGCATAAAAAAATAAATCTTTTAAAAAAATAAGAAAAGCCATGTTTACTTGGGATGACCAGGGAATGCTGTAATGATAGTTGCACCAAGTATGAAAAAAATGGCATAGATGTTGGTGTCAGTAGAGAGGGGGAGGAGTGTTCCTTCCGTGGAGAATAGCATGCATTTGTTAGAAGTTGTGAGACATATTGTAAGCATATTGTCTCTCTCAGGAGCTTACAGTCCTGCTCCAGAGGCACAAATCAACCTCAAGAAAAGTTAACTATTAAGAGAAAACTTCACAGTCTGGTCTTTATCAGTACTCATGCGGGTAACTGTGTACTACAGCGGACTGCAGTCACAGAAACGTTGTTGGCTCCAGCTTTGAGGAATGTTCACCTGCGAATAGTGACATGAACTGGGCTTTTAAAAAAGGTGGGACTTGGAGAGAAGAAGAGTAGGCACAGGGGTTTCCAGGTGACACCAAGTAGTAATGAAAGCCATAGGACATGCTCTAGGACTAAAACACTAGGTTCGTGTAGGGGAATGTGTCAGGGTACGAATGGAAAAGATGTCCATTCTGTTTCCCAGAATCCTGCACCAAAGATACTGTCTAGAAAGCATTTACCAAAGTATATGGTCAAAACTTGTGCTCCGTAGAACATTGATAGGGGTTCCTTAAAAAAAAAGTATGGGTTTAATAAGTGTAGCAAATAGTGGATTAATTAACAGTAAGATTTCCATCAGGTCCTGGCAGAAAATGATAGCATGCTCAAAGTGAGTCATTTCAGTAAGTTTGGTCAATGGCTAGGCAGGGTTTGAGGAATGCATAAAGGACAGTGACCTAGAGCTATTAACGATCCCTGGGCTTAAAGAATGAGGGAGAGAAACGTTATAGTACCTGGGAGGGATACCTGCAGGACCTGTCCTTAAATTGGGTTACAGCCAGCCCATGATGACTTGCTGGGCAAAGCCAGGAAAATAAATATACCCACAGCACTTTGCCCCTCTCCTGGATCTCCTGGCTCTCGCTGTTCAGATCCGGCTGAGGTCAAAGGCAAGGGGATGCCCATTAATCTGGGGCATCAAGGCTGTCTCCTGGGTACAAAGGCTGCCCAGAGGACATGGTGGTATCAACCGAAGGCTGCTAACACAGTGAAACTATTACTTCTCAGAAGGACTTCTTAGAGTAGTTCATATTTTAATGTGATAATCAGCCTACAAAGGAGGCTGTGAAAGGCAGTATCCCTAAACTAACTCTACCACAAAATTCTTTTTTGAAGGCTCTCTAGGACCAGTGATCAAAGGAAAACCAAATTGGGAAGCTTTGATCTGTGGGATGGAATCTAAGCTTCTTATGTCAATCAAACTTCTTTCAAAAAAAAGAGTTAGAAACCAATCTCAAGCTAGTTTAAACAGAAATCATTTGGGTTTGCACATAATATGGTGAGTTATGGGGAGGGGGGGCTTTGATTTCAGGCACAGGTGAACCCAGGACCTTTAATAGTGGTCTAAGTGCTATCTGTTACTCTGTCTCATGCATGCGCCACAAGGACAGTCCCCTACTGATGTCCCACATCACGTCATTACAGTTTATTCCAGAAAAAAACAGTGAAGAAGAGACTGAATTCACTCTCCCTTCATCCATATGCAAACCTGATAATTATGAGTGTTCCTCCCTGGATAAAATATCCATCTCTAAACAACTCCTCTGATCAGACATTGAGGTCCCTTGATAGAAACTACTCAGCTTTTTGAAGGTGGATAAGGTGACTGATCCCATTTTCTCAGCCTCACCAGGACAATATTATCCCAAAAGCTAGGCAAGACTACCCCCAAAGAAATAAGAAAGAAGGTCATGAAAAAGCTCGTAAACTTAGTGCAAACTAACACTATAGCTATCATGATCGACCATATTTCTTTACAGGGATTTCATGATCTTCCAAATTTGGCCTCCAACAATGATAACAAAGCCCACTGCACTGCTATATGAACTCCCTGCTCTAGCCAGAATAATTACTTACTGTTCCTTGAACACATCAGAAAATCCCATGTTTGTTCCACAGCCTTTCTTTTAATTTGAACTGTGCTGGATCCAAATCTAGTTCAAACCTACAATGAAGTCTGTCTACTGTGTTTGCCTTCCCTCATCACAGACAACAGTTCCTGTATTCCCTGCTCTTAACTCTACTTGCATAAAATGTCAGCATCAACCATTTAATCATTATGACACACTGACTTTTTGGTATACGTGTGTGTGAAACCTCTGTCCCTATACACATAACTGGATAGTAAACTCCTTAAACACAGTGACATATCTTCATAACTTCATACCCTTTTTACTTACCTTGCCAGGCATACTGTAGATGTTAATCAGTTGTACTTGGGTTTCCATTTCAAAATCTCAAGGTTAGTTTCCCACCTTTCTTGCTTTCCTGCATTTTCATCAAAGAAATGAATAATTACACTAATATTAAGGACCAGGAAATCCACACTACAGAAGAAACAAGACATTTGCTTTGCTTTCAAAAATAACAGCAAAACTCTAAATTAAAAGAAACAAAAAGTGTTAAAAAAGACACGTTGCGGAAAACTGAGAAAAATTAAATACAAAGTAACATTAGCTATTATTGAATTGGCCTTAATGTTTTAGGCATGATAATGTCATTTGGAGTATGTAGCAGCATAAACAAAATGTGTGAAGATAAATGGTAAATGACAGAGGTAGTGAAGGAGAGAAAACGCTTGTGTGTATAATATTAATAATTGTGTAATAATAATTGACGAATGTACAGATGCTTATTTTACTGTTCTTTCTACTTATCTATGGGTTTGATGACTTTCAAAATAAATAATTAGGAAAGAAAAGAAATGACAAGAATTGTATGCATTAGTCAGAACACTTTCTATTCCAAGTAGTAGAAACCAAACTCCTGCTTAAGCAAAAGGGACAATTCATGAAGGTGCTTAGATGATGTCAGTGTCTCGGTCCTTCAGGTTTCTCTGCTTTCTTCCGAGTTATGTTAATCACTTCATGGGGTAAAAAAAAAAAGGGGGGGGGCTTCACTTACACTGTAACACACAGAAATCCCTGTAAGAGAGGGGTTCTAGTTCCAGCCAATGTCTCAGGCTGTCCGTTTTTTGTTTGTTTGTTTGTTTTTGTTTTTTTAACTAACTTCAGGCTTGACCTGGGACCAGGGGTGTACTGGGTTCTGATCAACTAAGAATACACTTATTTATTTTTTTTTTTTTAAAAAGATTTGGCCCTTCCTGGTGGCGCAGCGGGTTAAAGCACAGCACTGAGAATCTGAGGCCACTTCCGCATGAGTTCGATTCCCGCCTGCCCTGGAGGTGACCACATGGCGCGGCAGACCTCTCCTGACCCGCCCACTGCTCCCCTCAGCAGTGTACTTCGTCGATCTGCCTGTTCTGCTCCCCACTCTGTCTCTGGTGAAGCCTCTCACCGCCCCTGAGCCTCTGGCCTGTACCCCAGTTCTGATGCACAAATAAATAAATAAATTTAAAAAAATAAAAATAATAAATAAATAAATAAAAAGATTTATTTATTTATGCATACAAGGGCTGGGGTGCAGGCAAGACGTGTAGGAGGTGAGAGGATTCACAGAGACAGAGTGGGGAGCAGAATAGGCAGATTTGCTGAAATACAGTGCTGAGGGGAGAAGCGGTGAGACATTAGGTCTACTGTGCCATGTGGGTCATCTCTCTGGCTGGGGGCTCAAAATCGTGCTACAGTGGCTGTGGATAGCTTCGTAGTGCTGCGGTTTAACCCCTTGAGCCACCAGGGAGGCCAGGACTCAGGATATAGCCATTCACCATCACCACTACCCTCAAGGTGAAGAAAGGATGGTTACCCAAAAGAAAATCCAGATGTCATTCCCAAATGAACAGTTTTCTAGTATAAAGAATATTTTAAAACTTTAAACAGAAACATAAAGGAAATAAAAAGCTATAAGCATTCAATTCTATTAATATTTAGAGTAAGTGTTATTATCCAAAAAGACTTTCCAAAACCCTGGTTGTTTATTCCATGACTTTGGTATGATAGAAGATAATGGTCACTTCCATGACTTCCCTTAAACAATTGCAACACAAGGAGGAATCGCGCCTTTGGATCTGACTTGAATTCTGTCAAATAATCTGGAGGAGCTGTTCACAGCACCTGTACCTGAAGCCAAGAACCACCCCCTCATGCCCTGCAGTAAATCTTGACAAGTGAATGGAATAAAAATCTCAGTCATGTTGTTATTTACGGGATCTGTACTGTTGGTAGGGAACCACTGAGGACATCCCATTCCCAGTGCAGGGTGTAATTAAAGTGGGGTATTTTGTTACTGATAGGGGTGGACTGCTGCTACATAGTATATTGTTTTCAAATAAATGCTTTGATGATTTCATTTTCCCTCTGAACACTGAGAAATAGCAGTTTCTGTTCTACCCCTGTACAGATCATTATTTCCAATTTCAGTGTTTTATCATATGGAATATTTATTGAAATCTACTATAAATCATGGCGCTTGTAAATATTGTCACAAGCAAACAAATTTATAAACTACCATTATCACAAAGGTTACTGGAACATTCTGTGTAGAGAACCCATCGCAACAGACACTCAGGAGTGATATGTGTATGATTTACAGCCCTGGCAAGTAGGGCTTTAGAGGTTTTCATATGTGATTGAAATATCCATCCATTATTGCTGTTACCCTGGAAGCACACAGATGGTGCTGTGTGCTCAGTGGTAATGAGGGTGGGGACCCAAAGCAACCTCCTGGTGCTTCAGAGACCAGTGTGTGGGACTGTGGAAGTGTAGAACAGGATGCAGCCAAATTTGAGCATGGGTCCATATTTTGGAAAGGGGTATAGCAGTGCAGTGACTTCAAGATTTGGAATTGATCTGCATTTTAAGGAGAACGTGGGTGGTGACTTCACCTAGGTCCTTCTAGACCTTTCCCACAGGGATCTAGGCTTTCACCTCTAGGGATCTGTTTCCTCCCTGGGAAACAGGTTTGGGCAGCAAGAAAGTGCCTGCAGCCTTGGGGAGAAACCTTACTTCTTCTGTTTTATCTTTTATAATCCATCACTATCTACAACTGTGCATTCCTCTTTCTTTCAGATTGCTATTAAAGTACCATATGTAAATCTAATCTTTAAAGTTTATCTTATGTAAAGTTTCCAAGGAGTGCTTACTATTTAAGGAAAGCAAGTGGCAAGTTCTGGAAGAGCGTGAATAATTACCCCATATTTGATTTATTCTGCAAACTTGCATCTTCTTTCACTTAATTTTAAACATTGGAGTGCACAACTGTCCTTTTTCACTTATTTTTCAAAATCAGAAACTAGTTTATCCTTTTCCAAGGTGGCAAGTTGTTGATGAGAAGATCAGAGTTGCCCCAACCAGAGAGCCAAGCTTTCTCCACTCTGCCCTCCTGTTACCAAGGCTTCTTCCCCGCTGCCTCTGGGGTAAGTATCCCCATCCTCCTTATCTTACTCTTCTACTACACAATGACTGAGCAACCTTCAAATGCCAGTTTGGGAGGAGCTGAGGGAGTGCAAATGGTGCTTTGTGCTTGTGATTCATTTCCGTTAGCCTTACAGAGATGATGGATGACACTGAATAACACATTCAATTTTTGTGCTTGATATTTGTTAACTATATAGCCAGACCCCTTTGGCTCTCACTGAAGGGGAAACTTCAGCTATTAACTGAGATTAAGTGACTCATTTTGAGGTCAAACAGTAAGTCAGGGATAGAATGAGAATTAGAACCATAGCTCCAAAGAGCTACAAAAACAAAGACTTGAAGAGGAAAAAAGGGTACACTTTAGGTAAATTATCCTTTCTCCTCCGGGCTACAGGACAGACAACCCTGACTGTGGAATATTCTTAGGGATTAATAATTCATTTTGAACCTCAATAATGAGTTTGTGCACACAGCCTCCTCATATGACAATACTGTGCTGTGCTCTGGAAGAAAATTGAAGCAGAATTAAATGCTTCACTGATCTTTGCCCATTTTGCTGTCTGCAGTGCTAATGTAGTTCAACTTAATTTGCCAAGAATTTATTTATCATATATTGTGTCCCAAGCATTGTGTTAATCCTTCAAAATGAACATTGAAAGTTTTAATAAGCCAATCCCTGCCCACAAGGAACTTGAGATCTGCTGCTTCATTCATTCACTAATATTTGAACCATTTTCTTTTCGAATAGTATAATTTATAAGAAGGACACAAATTAGGCTTTGACTTAAAAGTATCAAGAATACAGTGTTCTTAAAGACACAATCCGTTATTTTGTTTTCAGACAGATGAACTGGCCAACATACACACACACACACATACACACTGCCCTTCAGTTAGTTATAAACTTGGAAAGCATATTTTAAATCCTTCAGTGAAATGTTTTGGCAGGCATTTTCATCCAGATATTATTAACAACAAAACTAAACAATCCACACATCAATTCTGACTCTCAGGGAGGTCCTTGATGGGAATGTTAGCGTCTGGAGCTTCAAGTGCTTTTGTCCAACCAAATTTCATTTCCCAATCAGTCATAATCTTTTAAGTAGCTTTTGTGTTTGGGGATAAATAAAGCAGCATAGGCATTTCCTCGTCCAACCACTTTTTGCATTTTCAATTACTGTGACATTTTTGGAGGTTATGACTGATCCATGATTTAACAACTCATCATGATTTAACATGAAAATACTCCCATTAATAAGAAAACTGTTGTGGGGGGGGGGAAATCACACAAAGGGCTCCCTTGCCCCTCTCTGGTCTATTTCTACCAGCCTTTGAGTCCCACTTTATTTCTGTTCCTTTTCTCTTTAATAAATTTTCCTTACACTTATTTCTCTAAACAAATTCGCCCCTTTTCACTTGCTTGCCCAGTATCAGTGAAACTCCTGCTGCAGCTTCGTGAGAAACCAACCTGTGGTGGTCTAGTGGCCGGGACCCGACATGGCCACTATAGCCTGGGATCAATTCCTGTTCAGGGAACTAGACCTGAAAACCTGCAAATACAATAGCAATGCCGCTGAGCTGGTTTTGATTCAAGCTTTCTTAAAGTGGATACTGAAGTTGAGGGGAATTTCATCATGAAATTGGCAATGAGAACAATATGATATATATGAAGGTTTCATCTGTTTATGCAACAACAGTACACAGCTGAAATGGATTTGGTCTATGGCACAGATCTAACCCTACGCAGGTTTCCAATTCCTGGACATAAGAATGCTGTCAATAAATGCACATATAGGGCCTCCCTGGTGGCTCAGGGGTTAAAGTCTCAGCCCTATCAAGCTATTGCAGCCATTGCAGCACCTGGGGTTGACCCCGGGTGAGGGAGCTAACCCACATGGTGCAACAGATCTTTCCTGTCTCGCCCACTGCTCCCCTGAGTAGTATATTTCAGTG